CACCCAAATCTCCACCACTCACCCAAATCTCCACCACTCACCCAAATCTGCACCACTCACACAAATCTCCACCACTCACCCAAATCTGCACTACTCACCCAAATCTGCACCACTCACCCAAATCTCCACCACTCACCCAAATCTCCACCACTCACCCAAATCTCCACCATTCACCCAAATCTGCACTACTCACCCAAATCTCCACCACTCACCCAAATCTCCACCACTCACCCAAATCTCCACCACTCACACAAATGTCCACCACTCAATCAAATCTGCACCACTCACACAAATCTGCACCACTCACCCAAATCTCCACCACTCACCCAAATCTCCAGCACTCACTCGAGATGACTGAGATCCATATCAACCTCCTCCCCGGTGCAGAGCGGTATTTTTCACCCAAATCTCCACCACTCACCCAAATCTCCAGCACTCACTCGAGGTGACTGAGATCCATATCCACCTCCTCCCCGGTGCAGAGCGGTATTTTTCACCCAAATCTCCACCACTCACCCAAATCTCCACCACTCACCCAAATCTCCAGCACTCACTCGAGATGACTGAGATCCATGTCGACCTCCTCCCCGGTGCAGAGCGGGATCTTCTTCTTCTTGTTGCGACGGGACTTGCTGTGGCAGACGATCTCCTTCTTAGCGACCGTGTGCTCGATCTGCAGCGTGTGCTTGAACGTGCCGTCCAGCTCCTGGATCCACACCATCAAAGGACCGTCATACCTGAAATTATACAGGAAATGTAAATAAATCATACAGAGAATATTTCAATCATATAGGATATATTTAAATCATACAGGAAATGTAAATAAATCCTACGAGAAGTATATATAAATCATACAAAGAATGTATATGAATCATAAAGAAAATATATATAAATCATACAAAAATATATATATATCATACAGAAATATATATAAATAATAAATAAAATATATATAAATCATACAGGAAATATATATAAATCATACAGAAAATGCAGCACTTTCAGGTGCATGAATCGCACAGAAAATAAATAAGTCATACAGGAAATACATAAACCATAAAAATAATACATAAATCATGCATACAATATATAAATTATCCATAAAATGAAGCATTTTCAGACTCATAAATCATAAATAATTCATGCATGGAAATCAGCACTTCCAGGAAAACTGCCAACATGGAAAAAACTTAGGGGAAGCGTTGCAACGTAGCAGTCCCAGGCCACGCTTACAACATGCCTACGCATGATAAGGAGACTAACCGTCATGCCAAACATGAAATAAACATGAAATAAATCGGTCCTTTCAGGATAACATCAAACAACATAAAAATGGCAAACAAACAACATCCACACTTCAGATAAACTTCAAACATCAAACTTCTCGCTAGCTTGTACAGTCACAAGCACTTGTGAATGAAGAACGTACTTCTTGATGCCAGTTTCGTTGATGCACGAACGTCTTGATGCCAGTTTCGTTGATGCACATACCTCTTGATGCCAGTTTCGTTGATGCACGTACCTCTTGATGCCAGTTTCGTTGATGCACGTACCTCTTGATGCCAGTTTCGTTGATGCACGTACCTCTCGATGCCAGTTTCGTTGATGCACGTACCTCTCGATGCCAGTTTCGTTGATGCACGTACCTCTCGATGCCAGTTTCGTTGATGCACGTATCTCTTGATGCCAGTTTCATTGATGCACGTACCTCTTGATGCCAGTTTCGTTGATGCACGTACCTCTTGATGCCAGTTTCGTTGATGCACGGCTGTTCGATGGTCATCTCAACGATGTTTCTTTTCCTATTGAAGAGGAAATTCATCTTGAACTTGGCATGGCCGCCCTCCCTGACGCACTGGTCACAGAACGTTGTTATGTTCTTGCCCGTCACCGTGAAGATCTGGTTTGTGAAGTTCGCTGTTGACAGAAGCAGGTGCGACCAACCGCTACATATGTTCTGTTCTGACGCGATCAGGCCCAGTGACAGGTGCTTGTTCAACACCTGTGCAACAATAGATAATATGAATAGAGTGAAAACACAATATTAACACAATAAACACAATATTGGTCGTGCAGAACACATGCTTCCAAGAGCTGCGTATGGAGATCAAATTATTTTAACCAAGGACAATCAACCCAAGGCTCAATAAAAAAATGCTTATGTAAAAGCATAGGTTCATATAATTTTGGATTAAACTAGCTACTTCACTTTTCTTGAGAATTTTATTTGTATGACACCTTTTCCGCGAACCAAATTTGCAACAAAATATTATTATAATTATTATTCTATACTTCTAATTCTAATCAATTCTAATTAATTCTAATTCTAATTGATTCTAATTCTAATTATTCTATATTTCTGCCGGCATCAACATGCCTGCATCATGAGCTCATGGCCAATCCTGATCTCCAGCATCCTCATGATAAGTTGACTCTTCTTGTAATACATGTCGATGTAGCGCGGCGAGCAGGCGTGCGCATTCTTAACTGAGAAATAAAACACGTCTTTTCCAGAGTAACTTGTTCCTCCTTGGTCGTTGTGGTGGGACTTGGATGATGAACCGCTACCACCACCACCACCACCGCCGCTACCAAATGGGGTGGATGTATTAACGGAAGAGCTACCTGATGGGGTACTAGACCTACCACCACCAGCACCGAAGTGCCTGTTTCGACCTGTTTCTGAAAACGAAGGTTTGGCAGGAGTGTTGCTGTTGGAAGGACTGCCCTGTTTGCTGCTTCTGTTGAGCGAGGCAAGGGTGGGGATTTTAGGCTCCGTGGGGCACGAGCTTGGGTCCAGGACTATGGAGCCGAACTCTTCCTCGTACTCTACTACTGACTGCAGCTCCTGGGGGAACGGATAGGGGGAAATTTGGAGAAAGAATAGGGTTATAAGTCAAGAAGGCTTTTCAATTTGAATGCAACATATTGAGAAAATAACTCGATCAACGGATAGGGGGAAATTTGGAGAAAGGACAGGATTATAAATCAAAAAAGCTTTTCAATTTGAATACAATATATTGAGTGAATAACTCGATCAGGATATTAGACATTCATAAATCAAGCATTTTTATAGTGTATAACAATTGCGTCTGAAATCAGATTAAAGTTACTGTAATCACAATCCATTTTAAGGAGATTTGTAGTAATATTTTGTAGACCGTAGTATACAATTGTAGCAAAAACATCACGCATCGCATGATACTATACATTTTAAAACTAGAAATGCCTGAAACTTACAACTAAAAATTATTGTGCACAAATTAGTTTAGTACAATCTTGAAGTTATAAACTTCAAAGGTTGTGATTGTAGCGTTGCAAAAATTATGCAGCCTGACGAGTGTCAAAAGTCAACTGCGCTAATAATTTGACTTACGGAATGGGCAATTACAACAACAACAACTTACGGAATGGATCCAATGTTTGTAGTGGTTGAAGCCGAAATATTTCTTAAGGTACAATCCAGTGAGATAGCGGGCAACCCCTTCACACAGCCACGAGTCCGACCAGCTGTAGCGGGTGAGGAAACAGCCGAAGAACTGCCGTGCCACACTCAGCACGATCACTTCACGTGTCTCGTACACTTGGTCGATGATACGGCTTGAGCACAGCAGGTTCTGGCTGCAGAACAATTGGTTATAAGAACCTTTTAAGAAATTTTTAAGAACAGAATAACACATAATGAATAAAAGAACATCCAACGGTCACCTCGTGGGTCTCATACACTTGGTCGATGACACGGCTTGAGCACAGCAGGTTCTGGCTGCAGAACAATTGCTTTTAAGAACCTTCGCAGAACTTTTTATGAACAGCATAACACAAAAAGCAGTAACAGAACTGCCATGCTATGCTAAACACACTCACTACCCGCGTCTCGTACAATTGGTTTATGCACCGCAGGTTTGTGCTACAGAACAATTGGTTTTAAGAACCTTATGAGAGAATATTAGTTTTTAAGAACCTTTCAAGAGCACCACAGAAAGTCCTATATATTACGAAAGTTATTTTATTTCCAGAATAAATACAAAATTAATTATCAAGGTATGTAGATCACGTATTCAGCTATGTAATAAATTGAATCCTATTTTATAAACTGAATCTTTTTTCAAGAAAACTCTACCTGCACATAAGTACCCATAGCAGGAGATTAAAACTTTATGCGACAATGAAACCCTCAGCTGAAAGTTTTATTTTCAACAATATAATACAAATAAAAATAATAACTAGAATTTATTATAATATTTGAAGAATAGAAGACCTGATCATACACAAAGTCGAGTAGTAGTGGAGATCACTGTAGAAATAAAACTTAATGTGACGTAAAAAAATACTCAGCTGAGGGTTTTATATTTAAAAATATATATAAATAAATTATTTTCAAATTTGGCATAATATTTCATAAATTAAAATACCTGACGACGCTCATGGTGGCGTATGATTGAAGGTCGCTGTAGGCTTCATCCACATACACTTGTTTGTAGGAGGTGTAGGGATACCTGAGGAAAACCATACACTTTACAATAATACAGTTCCATGAATGATGAGTTATAAACTAATTAAGGAATAATTTCAATTCAGTTCAACGAATGAGTAACTAGAGTAATGAATTACCAGCGAGTTAAAATGAAGAGTAAGCTGATTAATTATTGTATAGCCAGTTTAGATATAGAGAATCCTAATTAATGAGTGGGCAACCAATTTATTAGAATATTTCATGTTTAACCTTTGTTAATCATTCGGTGTGTAAAACGACCAGTTCATTTAAGTAATAAATATTGTGATTCAAAAATCGAAATATAAAAAGACATAATGCAGAGCACCAAAGTACTATTGTGAGTAAAATAGCCATCAAAAAACCTGATGGAGAGCATCTCCTCGAAGAACTCAAAGGCTTGATGCAGGTATTTACTGCAAGCCTTCATTACGGGCAGCAGCTGCGGCAGGCAGAAGTGGGTCAACTCGTTCATGTATGGGTCAACATACACAGTGAACGGCCTGCAACAACATTCATGTATGGGTCAAAAAACACCGTGAATGGCCTGCAACAACATTCATGTATGGGTCAACATACACCGTGAACGGCCTGCAACAACATTAATGTACGAGTCAAAAAACACCGTGAATGGCCTGCAACAACATTCATGTATGGGTCAACATACACCGTGAACGGCCTGCAACAACATTCATGTATGGGTCAACATCTGTCTCTTATACACATCTAGATGTGTATAAGAGACAGGCATAGGTTCATATAATTTTGGATTAAACTAGCTACTTCACTTTTCTTGAGAATTTTATTTGTATGACACCTTTTCCGCGAACCAAATTTGCAACAAAATATTATTATAATTATTATTCTATACTTCTAATTCTAATCAATTCTAATTAATTCTAATTCTAATTGATTCTAATTCTAATTATTCTATATTTCTGCCGGCATCAACATGCCTGCATCATGAGCTCATGGCCAATCCTGATCTCCAGCATCCTCATGATAAGTTGACTCTTCTTGTAATACATGTCGATGTAGCGCGGCGAGCAGGCGTGCGCATTCTTAACTGAGAAATAAAACACGTCTTTTCCAGAGTAACTTGTTCCTCCTTGGTCGTTGTGGTGGGACTTGGATGATGAACCGCTACCACCACCACCACCACCGCCGCTACCAAATGGGGTGGATGTATTAACGNCTGTCTCTTATACACATCTCTCACCTCCCCCATAGACCCTTCACCTCCTCATAGACCCCTGACCTTCCCCATAGACCCCTCACCTCCCCTCATAGACACCTCACCTCCCCTCATAGACCCCTCACCTCCCCCATAGACCCCTCACCTACCACATAGACCCCTTACCTCTGCGATAGACCCCTCGCCCTGGGGGATGACAAAGTGCAGACCACACTGGGGCTTCTCGAGGGAGAACTCAATGGAGACCCTCAGGGGCTTGCCCTCCTGTATCATGTGCTGTGCTTCTGAGGGCACCGTCACCAGAAGCTCCCCCCGGCCAAGCTCGGGGTTCACTGAGGTCACGGCAGTGCTCAGGCAGCTGTTCAGGAACTCAATGTTCCTCCTGTGTGAACATGAGAACAGTGAGAACAGTGAGAACAATGAGAACAATAATAAGAGTCATTTGCTGAGGTCACGGCAGTGCTCAGGCAGCTGTTCAGGAACTCAATGTTCCTCCTGTGTGAACAGGAGAACAGTGAGAACAATAAAAACAAAAATATATATAAGACTAATAGAACATAAGAACAATGAGAACAACAAGAATAAAAACATAAGATTGATAAGAACATTGAGAACAACATGAACAATAAGAACATAAGAACAAATGAACAATATAAACATAAGAACTATATGAACAAGGAGAACCGCCAGTCACTGAGGTCACATCAGAGCCATGTACAAAAATCAATGAAAAAGGCCAAGCTCAAATGGGTTCTACAAATGAATAAAAATAATTTATTCATGAAAAACAAATCAAATAATCACATAACTCATGCAAAAAATTCAACTTTCAAAGTTTTTACATGATCATGTCAAAATAGTAATAGGTAATGAAATCAAAAAAGACAAAAAATAAAAGTCATTCAATAAAGCAAATGTGAATAAATAATAAAACTTACGTTTTGTTATCATCCTGACATACATTAAGGAGTGGATCATAATATTGGAAGGGCACTTCCAGCACATCATTGAAGCAAACTTTGTAGACGCAGCACTGCTTGCAGTTCACCCAAATATAGCGGATGCTGTCCTTTGTTGGTAGTAAAGTGAGCTCAGTGTAGCCCTGCAAAGTTGATTGATTATATTATATTATATAATTCATTTGATATTATAATATTATATATTATATTCTATTAAATTGACAAAAAAAATTATTGTTATTTAAATTTTCACTGATTGATACACTCAGAAATTGAGGAAAATATACAACAGCAGAATTTTCATGGGAATTCATGAGTGATTCATCACTTGAATCCCAGTACAAAGTAAAATTGAACAGAAATCCCAGCAATTTAACCAAATTTATGATAGTAAAACCCATTTATAAAATGCCTGGACTGACAAATTATATTTCTTCACTCATTGCACTGTTATAAGTGGATGAATTCCTATGTATAATAAAAATCCCTAACAAAATAAGAGATGTAAATATAAAAAACTTATTATTAGGTGAATGCATATCATATGAATGAAAATAACTGACTATACTCTAGGTGTAGTCAGTTATTTTCTATGAGATTAATTTGCCACACCAGGCTATTATTGGTAAATAACAATTGAGATTTGATTTTAGAATATGACAACAATACAAGCCAAGGACAAGAAACTAAAGGAAGAAAATATAGACTAAATGACTCACGATAACAGTTTGGCGGGTGAAGTTTATGCCAGTGAGACTCAGCACCTGGTGGGACGTACACAGGTAAAATATTATTTTTCTATTTGTAAAAACATTTTATTTAGTATACTGGTATACAATAATTTATTAGACTTTTTCAGCAAAAAAAATGCTTTTAATATTATTTTCAGCAATAGAAAGTTGATGGTCATGGCAATCTATGACTACAGAATTCTTTAATACATAAAAAGTAAATATAGGATATGTGTGAACTATTAATGACTAATAACTTTATAAAATACTAAAATTAGATACTTATAATTTATATGCTTTCTGCAGATCTTTCTTCATGGTGAAAACAGCATTTCAGGTTTAGATGATGATGGTGATGTCAATAATTGTCATGAGTAGTCATAAGTTAAATTAGTTCCCAGCTCAAGATCAGTTCATTATAATAAGGCATAACATGATTAAAATGCAGTTGAGACACTGAAATGAGGAATAATAGGTTGAATAAAACATGTGTAAGTATATCATATTCATAAGAGAGAACTTGTACATTTACACAAATGTCTACAGAAGATACCTACTATACCATATAAATGTACCGTATGTGTTCATGTTACTAATTTACCATATAAGTTTTATCCCAATATTTTCATGTTTTGTTACATGTGAAATTAATAATCTGAAATGAGAAATTTCAAGTAAAATGGGAAGGTTATTTTAAGTCTAGAATGACCCACAAAACGTTTCTAAAGTTACATGCTGCATGACGTACTGCATGCAAAACATATTTGGCATGCATTATTTTATCATAACGTTTTCCTAATTCTCGACCCAAGTTAACTCATGTTTTTGCATGGTTTACTTTGTGAGATGGAACATTTTATACATTTTAATCAAAATATTGATGTCACTTGTTTGCTTTAATCACAAATTAACTAGAAATTTTAAAGCAAAGAAAATTCCACAAAAGTTTATCATATCTCTATAGAAAACATTTTGGAGTCTAGCTCCATAATCATTTTGAAAATTCTAAAATGCATATAAAATCTAAATTTAAACTAGAAGACAAAGCACAAGAAAAAAACAGCAAAATCTATCTCTTCACAATCTCAAGGGAATATGACTAAAAGCTGTATTAAAACTGGGCAATGAGTCAAAAATATGCAGAACTCAAGTACCTACCAGAAGTATTCAACTTGAATCAGAATGAACAAACGGTACTTAGGCTGGTGAATGTCTTCCTTTTTATAAGCATTCCAGAATTTTCAAACTGACAATAGAGCTAGACTCCAAAATGTTTTCTATAAAGATATGATAAACTTATGTGGAATTTTCTTTGCTTTTAAAATCCCTCATAATTGAAATGACAGCTAAGCATGTACAAAAAAATGTTTCGTATTAAGCAAAGTTATAGCACTTATTGAAGCTGAAAGGATAGCCAAATGAAGACATAATTGAATTATTTCTACTATGGTACCAGTATCAATTTATGTTCTTGAACACTTAAGGTAGGTATATTTAAAATATATTGATAGGATTCATTACACCAAATTTTCATTTGTTACTGTAACTAATATCAAATATAGTTTAGGCACAGTTTGTTCCAGTATTCCAGCAATTTATTTTAATTACTAAATATTTACATATTTATTTGTTCAAGCAGTTCAAGTTCTTCAGGTAAATGCACCATCTAGCTCATTTAATTAGATATTCTAAAAACAGGGAATATTGGAGATGAATTGTTTAGAATCATTCTAAAATTTTCCAAGTGCATATAAAACCAGTGCACATATTTGCCAGGCACAAACTTGTTCATTTTGACTTTCAGTCCTGGCAATCAGAAATTTAAAAAATCATCATTAGTCAACAGAAAGAAAATTACAGCTTGTAAACTCTAATGTTTGTTGATCTGAAAGTTAATTTAAAACAATTTGGCTCTGCATCCAAACTCAGAAAAAAATTTTATCAGGTACAAATTGCAGCGGCCAGCAAATGCCCCACCCCCACCCGGCTAAGTGTCACACTATAAGAGTACCGTATATGTTACAATAACAAGTTATTTGTTAACCAGTTATTTTAGGAAATGAAGCGTGGCATGCATGGCCATGCATTTTTTGGCAAGATTTGGAGATTATTCTATAAAATACACTGCTATGATGCCAAATGTTAGGTGCAGTATAATATATGCAACCATGGTACAATTCTATGGGTTAGTTAAAAGAACCTGGTCTTATGACATTTTGAACCGATCACGCTTCTTTACGGACCAAGCGCCCAACCGCACAACACACCTTCCCCGGCAAAAGCTTATTTACTTCTGAAGAAAGGGGCGGTTTCACTGTCAGCTCAGCTGATAGCTGCACTGGGTGTGGGCGGGCCTTATTTGAATTTAAATGCATGCATCGATTTGAAATCCTGTACGCACACCGTCAAATGGGGTAAAAAGGGACAGGTGGGGTAAATAGGGACATGCGTCCCACATTTCGTAGAAATGTAGTAGCAGCTAAACTAATCAAAATATTGCAAAACTAAAAATAGTGACGTAAACTTCAACATTTTTACTATCTATTATGGTATGTATAAAACTAGTCAAGAAATCAAACATTTACTATCTCCAAAAATTTGTTGGAAAAAAGCGAAAAGCGCAATTTTGAAAAGTACCTCTACCAAGGTCTGGAGCAAAAAAAAAAATTAGCTGTATTAAAAAATTTTACTTACATAAAAGTTGCACCCAGTAGTCAGCTATAAAACGTAATTGATGGAATTTGCCTATCTCATTCCAAAAAAAATGGCAGCCATTTCTGCATGGCGGGGCTACTCGGGACACCCCCCCCCCCGGGGTAATTAGGGACACCCTTAAAATTGCATTTACAGTAGAACCTCAGTTAGCATAGGCTCCAGTTAACAAAATAATTGATTAATAACAAAGAATTTTGATTACATTTACCTCGCTTGGCAAAAAAAATTCACTTATCAAAAAATCAGTGCATCATCGGTCATCACAAAATTGTAACACAGAATGCTTTATATAGAATTGTGCATTGGGCATCATAGAATGAAAATTTATGGACCTAAACTATGATTTATTTCTTCAAAACATATGATGGTTGTCACTAAAACATTATTTTCTGTTTCAGGTATGTTTTTCACGATCTTTTTTGTTATAGTGAAATCACTAGACTCGATTAAAATTGTGCGAAATTACAAACCATCCTGTAAGCTTATAGATACAGAAGAAATGCTACATGGCTGCTGATATGAAGCTTGCAGTGGACAAGGTCGTTGCCAATGCTCAATGGCATGTCCATGAATATAGTAATATCACATTAATAATACATTAATTAATGAATATGGTAATATCATATCAATAAAGGAAAAACAAGTAAAAATCACAGAAAATATCATTTATTTTACATCTACATCATCTACAATGAACAAGGAGGACTTCAGAGTACTGTTAGTAATGGATGAGTACACTCTGCATGCTTCAAACGTTTTAAAGTTAACTTTTATTGCAAGTGTCCCGGATTACCCTGTTCCCAGGGGTAAATCGGGACGGTTTTATTTTGCGTCTGGCACCTTACGAATAGCATATGGAATTTTTTTAAGATGCCATTCGATAGCCCTCGCAAAGAGCTATAAAATGAGCCTAAACTTGTTTCTGAAATGTTTCATGGTAAGAAGTTAATAACAAAAAATGCTCAAAACTGTCCCTTTTTACCCTGTTTGATGGTAGTATACGAGTCCTAAAGAGCCTAAATTTTTAATATGTATATAAAAAATGTATGTTTCTGCATGGATTATAATGCTGTTAACATTAACAAACTTTGAATTATCTCTGATGCAGGAAATACTTGCTTAAACAATTTTATTTTCAATATAAGCGACAGGATGCAAACATCGTTCGCAAGAACCAAGATAGCCCCAATAACAGTAATTTCTATTGACATTAATTTCTAAATTAGAATTTATTTAGCCAGTATTTCTTGCATCAGAGATACTTTTAAGTATTTCAAAGTTAACAGCATCAAAATCCATGCAGAAACGTAAACTTTTAATAGGTTTTAGGCTAAAATTTACGCTCCTAGTCCAAAGAACTGAAACCGATTTCAAATAAAAAATGACCAATGAATCGCGCTTTCTGGCAGCTTCTGTCACAGCTGATTGTAGTTGCAGTGCATTTTTACTAAGGGATACTGGGATAGCATAAGTTGCTAATACGTATTTAATGTAGTCTTCCGTTGGTACAAAACTTACAAAATAACCTTGAATTATTGATTGCTAATTTCTTGCATTATGTAAATGTTTATGATTCAAATTAATCATAGAAGTTGTATCTTCATAATTCCATGTTGAATTAAAATTACCCATAGAAGGTTCACGTACAGATGCCAGCGCTAGCAGCGGCAATCAAATGAACTACTCTATTGTTTAGTATGACTATATAATATCGTATTCTGTTTAGGTCCGGTCTCTAAAGTGTTCCAGCAACATATTTTCCATTACTAATTATTTAAATGTATTACTGGTACCTTGTGTTGCAGTAAGATATTGAATTGTTTGAATTCTAAACAAAGGTGGCATGCCCGCATTCAGATGCTAGCACCAGCACCCAGCAGTGGCAATCAAAGGAACTACTTTATTGTTTAGTATGTTTACTATAGTAATATAGTATTCTGCTTAGGCACAGTCTCTCAAAATGTTCCAGCAACATATTTTCCATTACTAATTATTTACATTTATTTGTGGTGCAGCAAAATATTGCATTGTTTGATGTCACAGTCAAATGAGTCAATGTACCATGTGTTCTTGTGTTGTTGTGCAATGTCACCGCAGGCCTGCCCAGCAAGCTGTATGTAAACAAAGCCACAGCAGTGATGATGGAAACAGTTTTGCATTGCAATCGATGGTTATTTGTGAATAATATTTTTGATTGTGATATTATAACATATTTCTGATTGTGAAATAATTTTGATTGTTATATTGACACTTGACAGTAGTGTCAACAGTTGAACATTGAAGTTCTAACATCATGAGTTACAAGGTAAAAGTGAAAAAAGTGAGTAGAGCTAGACTGGAAACATGGCTGAGGCTTAACCGATGTCATTGTCATTTTTTACGTCATTGATATCATTCTGGAACCAACATAAGTAACTAAGGACTTTCCCAGTTCAAATATTTATTGATTTATTTATATCAATTTCGAAACTCCACATATTTCTAGAGGGAGTTGTGATGAGACCATGGGGTCGTACTGTTGAGTTTAGACCATTGCAACTTGCAAGAGGAGCCCAAGGGCCAAGTACATGGGGCCTTGCAAAGGGTTAAGACTGCCGCACGGCGGTGGACCGACATAAGTACCTCTCTTCATAGAATTCCACTATCTTACCAACGTCTGTCATCGACCTTCTTCTTCTTTTCGGGATGTCCACGCAGGGTAGACTTAAAGCCACAGGACAACCGCAAGGATGACCATTGGG